AATATTTTAAACATTTTTTTATTTTTGCCAACGTTTCAACCCAAACATGTGGGTCATCTTCAGGGCGTGGCTTGAGCACTGAGGTTGATCATGTACTGGAGTACATGAACAACATATATATATATATATTTATATATTGTACCAACAAAATTGGTTGCTATAACATTTTTTTTTTCCATCCCCTAAGATTTTATTTACTATACAAAAGACAATATATAAATACAATCATAGATATATATACAATTTTTAAAGTTCTTTTTTTGCCCAAAGGTATTTTAAGATAAAGGGCTCTGCAAGCTGCATGCATATTTTACATTTATGGCCAGAGATTCAATAATTTTGGTTATTGAAATTTCGCAGTTAAAACTTTTTCATTCCAAAATAAATTTTCGTCTTAATTTCATATAGCATCACTCTAAAATGTGAGGTTTTACGTTTCATGGCGGGAATGTATTTATAATATATGTATTCATATATGGAAATGTAATAAATATGGTTTTTACTAATTATTTGAACTAATTATTTTAATGCACACTAATGGAAAACATGCCCTGATCACTAAACATGGATGAAGATTGCGGTATCCAATCCCCAGAGAAAGGGTTGGATTGAATTTGTCACGGGGGTCCAAGTGGGCTATAAAAATTAATAACGCTGTTCTGGAGGGGAGTGGTTCACCCCCCCAATATCTGCTGCTACCCCCTCCTTGCATTTTTGCTCTGGTTGTTCATATTTCGTTTGTTTTTTTAAACTAGTTTTCGCCCAGCGGTTGAAATTTTACCATAATAATTATTGGACACTTGAGGAAACCATTAATGAATTTGCATGGTTTCAAGGATTGTTATTTGGGTCCGGAATTTTTACAGGCAATGGAATAAAATGTACAATAACATGGTAATCCGAGTACAATAATTATTCAGTTATAATTTTAGGGCTAGTCTTATTATTTATCTATTGAACTGTAGGGATATTTTCTAATCTGGCAACCTAATCTCTTATTATGTAAATTATTCTTTACGTTAAGTTTTACTCTTAATATCCCACTTATCCCTGTTGAACAAATCCGATACCTTGGACTCCACTTAGACAAACGTCTAACTTGGAATACTCATACCAGACTGAAACGACAAGAAACCGCTCGAAGTTTCCGACTACTCCAGCACTTACTAGACAAACGCTCTAAGCTCCCGGTCAATTACAAAAGACTTATAAACATGACTGCAATAAGATTTGGAATTACGGAGTTGATCTCTGGGGTTACACTAAGCTATCGAATTCCTCTCGTATCCAATCCTTACAATCCAAAATCCTTCGTAAAATCCTCACTGCTCCTTATTTTGTCACAAATAAAATCATCCATAACGACCTTAATGTTCCTTATGTTTCTGACCTGGCCCAATCCAGAAATGGATATTTTATAAGATAAAGTTTCTCTAGATTCTTGGCCTTAAAATTACTCTGATTCAAATTGAAGGTCTGGGATCTTCTGGAGTCTCACTTTTCCTTCCACATATGGAGGACAAAACTTGATTAATAGTTATCTGGGTAAATTTAAATATTGTACTTTATTTTTATTAATAATTTATTTCTATTTCTATTTCGTAAGTATGTACTGAATGAATGAACATATGGAGGGAGCCTTTAGACTTGTTCAATTCAATAAACGTATATATATATATATATATGAAATTTGGGGGATTATAATTAGGAAAAAAAGGCATTGGTTTACTTAGGTACACTTAATAATAGATACAAAAAAAAAAAAATATGTATAATACGTTATCAATTCTGATAAATTGATTTCTTTTTTTTTGCGACATCTTATTAAAAAACATTTTTATCGGGATCTATAAGGCACCGGGGCGGTGTCCCGATCCGGCACTGCCACCCTAATCCGGACGGCGGAAGTGATTAGCCCTTCAGGAAGTTCCCACGGAGTGCCGCCCACCTGTTGATCCGTTTCCCACAGATAGTAGGAAATCTCGGGATGTAGCTTCCGTGATTGCCTTCCATGTGCGGGTGGTTATTAATAGTACGCGTAAACTCATCCCATACTTTTTTTTTTGTAGAAATAAAACAAAATTAGTTATCCCGTTAATAATTTGCATACTATATAGGTCAGTGAAAAAAATGAAGAAAATGATGTAGAAATAAGTTAATGGATGAGATGGAAGATTTAATTTTCGTTTTTCTAGATCCAATTACAATAGTTCATTTATAATAATTATACTCTACTTACCTCTGTTGAGCAAATCCGCTACCTAGGACTCCACCTAGACAAACGACTAACTTGAAATCCTCATACTAGACTGAAACAAGAAACCGCTCGACGTTTTCGATTACTCCAACACTTACTAGACAAACGCTCTAAACTTCCAATTGATTACAAAAGACTCATATACATGACTATAATAAGGCCTATTTGGATTTACGGAGTTGAGCTATGGAGCTCCACTAAACCATCGAATTGCTCTCGCATCCAATCCTTACAATCCGAAATCCTTTGTAAAATCCTCAATGCTCCCTACTTTGTTACAAATAAAACCATTCATAATGTTTCTTATGTTTCCGACTTGGCCCAATCCAGATACCTATTCTTCCATAATAAACTTCAGAATCATCCCAACCCTCTCGTTTCTAACCTTGCTTCCTCTTCAATTCCTGATAACCCTCCGAGACGTTTGAAAAGAAGATGGCTCCCTGATCTCCTAATGTAGACATATCATTAGAGTTCTACCATTGGGTAGTTACTCAGCAGGTGTTTTCATGTAATTATATCCATATGTTCAAATTTACTAGATGTATTTATTTAATACAATTGTAAATATCATTAAGAAATTTAAAAAAAGTTATTATAATTCATTATAAAATGATAATTATTTTTTTAATTTTATTTTTGTTATTATTTATGAAATTTACAAATTAATATACCTTTAGCAAATGTGATAAAAAGAAATATATGACATGACAAGGCTTGTAGAGAATATACCCATTACACTATAATAAAGTTTTTAAATTAGGAGATCATGAGGCCATCTTCTTTTCAGACCTCTAGGGGAGTTATCAGAGATCGAAACGAGGAAGCAAGGTTAGAAACGAGAGGATTAGGATGATTCTGAAGTTTATTATGATAGGTAACTGGATTGGGCTAAATCGGAAACATATGGAACGTTCAGGTCATCATGGATTATTTTATTTGTTACCAAGTATATTGAGGATTTTGGATTGTAATGACTGAATATGAGAGGAATTCTAATAGGTCTTATTATGGTCTTATATATGAGTCTTTTGTATTTAATACGAAGATTAGAGCGTTTGTCTAGTAAGTGCTGAAGCAAGCGGAAACGTCGAGCGGTTTCTTGTCGTTTCAGTCTGGTATGAGGATTCGAAGTTAGACGTTTGTCCAGGTGGAGTCCTAGGTAGGGGATTTATTCAACAGGGGTAGGTGGGATATTATTAAATGATACTGTAGGACAGTTAAGCCAAAGATGTGTAAAAATTAATATTTGTTGTATATTTGATACTAATTGTTCCAATGCACCATTTGAGTTATAAATTATTTAATGATAATTAAGAAATAATTATAATATCCTATGGCGAAACCGAAGGCTTTTCTTTTTGGTAATCCTGGACCAATTTATCGCAAAGAAAACTTAAGAAGTTACAGCTAAAAACCTGAAAGTCCCCACCGGGATTCTATTAGTACTTTCAGGCTCCTTTCACACTGAAGATGCAAGAAGCAGAATGCATGGCATCTTGAACACTGGACTGTGTAATAGAACGAGAGCTTTCATATCGAAGATGCAAGTGAGTCTTGCAGCCTGGATGGGTCTTTGTTGTGCTGGTCTTGCATACTCACCCCTTCCACTTCGGTCCACCAGAAGCAAAATATTTTTACATAAATACATATATACATACAGACACACGCACCATTTTGCGGGACTTAGTTATTTGGACTCAGAAGACCTTAAAACATGTATTTCCGTTGAAAACGTATGTAGTTCCTTACTTTGTATTTCATATATAGGTAAGTGAAAGTTTTTTTTGTTACAACTGTATTACAAGTAAAAATACATTCAGTAAATGTGAACAAAGGAATAAAATAGCATGAAATCACATGTTGAGAAACTACCCATTGGTAGCACTCTAAAAATGTATTTACAAAGCAGATCTCGAGGCCATCTTCTTTTCACACGCCTCTGAGGGTTGTCAGGGATCGAAGAGGAAGCAAGGTTAGAAACGAGAGGGTTTGGATTGTTCTAAAGTTTGTTATGGAAGAATAGGTATCTGGATTGGGCTAGGTCAGAAACATAAGGAACATTAAGGTCGTTATGGATAATTTTGTTTGTGACAAAGTAAGGAGCAGTGAGTATTTTACGAAGGATTTTTGATTGTAAGGATTGGATACGAGAGGAATTCGATGACTTAGTGGAGCCCCAGAGCTCAACTCCGTATGTCCAAATAGGTCTTATTGTAGTCATGTATATGAGTCTTTTGTAATTGACAGGGAGGTTAAAGCGTTTGTCTAGTAAGTGCTGGAGTAGCCGGAAACGTCGAGCTGTTTCTTGTCGTTTCAGACTGGTATGAGGATTCAAAGTTAGACGTTTGTCTAAGTGAAGTCCAAGGTATCGAATTTGTTCAACAGGGATAAGTGGGGTATTATTAAAGGATACTGTAGGACAAGAGGACATGGTTTTACGACGAAGGGTAAAGGTGATTTGATGGGATTTATTGGAATTTATTTTTATTCTCCAATTTTGACACCATTCTTCAAGGTTTGTGATGTCTGATTGAAGGGTTTGTGATGCAATTGTTGGGTCGTTATTAACTGATAGGACACATGTTTCATCGGCATACGTGGTAATGACTGTGTTAGGATGGGTTGGGATATCAGCTGTATAAACTGTGTAAAGGATAGGACCTAGGAACACCAGCGGACTGGGAAAAAAGGGATGAATAAAGTGAAAGTAAAAAAAGAAACAGACACAGTATTTGACAATGTATATTATAAATGAAATTTTAATTAATTAGAAAAGGACATGCCGAGTTGACATTTTATAACATTCGCTAGTTCTACAGAAAAATCATAGACTGTTTTCATTTTCAGATATGCGAACTTGGCATGATGGCTGGCAGTCAACACTGGAATGCCCTCCAAGAGATCAGAGATGGTGCTGTTGTAAAGGTACGGGTACGTCGTACAACCTTTTGGGGACTCGAAAGTCCCGAAAGGACATTCGTTGAAGCAGAGCGGTCCTTGGGGTCCGTGAAAACAGACGCCCCCATTCGTCAGACATTCCTCAGGGCAGTCTCCCTTTCCACAAAGGGCTTCTTCATCAACACCATCATCGCAGTCGCGTTTTCCATCGCAGACATGTTGAATGCTTATACACTTGTCTTTGGAGCACTTGAAGAGCCCGTTCTCGATGCTGCAATAGGAATCGTTGTTTTTCTTCAAGATAACGCCACAGTACAATTCATCAGTCCTGTCCCCGCAGTCGTTGAAGTTGTTGCAAACCAGCGATCGGTCGATGCATCGCAGCGTCCGGAAGCAGTGGAAACCTTCTCTACAAGATCTGGAGCATCCTGCAGGCTCGTCGCTGCCGTCACTGCAGTCGAACTGACCATCGCAGATCCAACTCTTCTTGATGCAGCGCCTGTCGTTGCAAGTGAATTCGTCGTATTCGCAAGGTCTCGGAGTCCTCTTGGGTCTTGTCGTATTAAACTGACAATGTTTCAATCTGCAAGCGATCGATTTCGTTTCTTCATCTAACCATTTGTTTATTGCATCTATACAACTCTCGTTAGACATTTTACAACTCCAATATTTGCTCGAGGCCACTTCATGATATGCTCGTATAGTTGTGTTGATTCCTGTTAATTTCTCTTCCAATTCTGATATGTGTGAGAGGAGCGGTGTTTCGGATCTGGTTAAAAGGGTGAAAAATTTCCTTCTCATTTTCATATAGTCGAAAACGTCTTCAGAACAACTTTCTCTGGATATGTTTTTGGCGTTGACTGTTTGCATAGAGTTGTTGAAGAACCGGTTAACAAAACCTGCAGATTCAGACCTAACTTCATTAATGACGTCAGTTGCAGTAGTGATGACGTTTCGCGCGGCTTCAGAATACTCCCTATAGGTCGCTTCGAATTCGTTTAACTTTTCCCATTCCGAGCCAATGGAAGTCATTTCCTCGTCTTGAGACCATATAACCTAAACAACATAAAAATAACTTAGTATATTTTCATAATAATGATAAATATAGTGCCCCGTAAGCAGAGAGAAATATTTAAAAGGCTATTTTTTTTTAAATGAAATTTACAACTGTGTTACATAGAAAATGCAATAAGTAAATATGACATTGGTAACATGACATGTACAGCATGAAGAGAAACTACCCATTGGTAGAACTCAAATTGAAGTTCTATATTAGAAGGTACCAAAGCCATCTTCTTTTCAGACGCCTTGGAGGGTTATCAGGGATCGAGGAGGAAGTAAGGTTTGAAACGAGAGGATTCGGATGGTTCTGCAGTTTGTTAGGGAAGGATAGGTATCTGGATTGAGCCAAATCGGAATCATATGGAACATTAAGATTCAAAAGTTTGATAGTAGACATCAAGATCTACAAAAAAGTTCTTATAAATTGCCAAAAAAAAAATGAAAATTGTCCAATTGTCAGCAGAAAAGTAGAAAATTTAAAATTCATGCGTTTTTAAACGAATCACGTTTTTTGTTGAATTGGAAGAGATAACTCAAAAAATATTAGTCAAAGGGTGATAAATATTCAGGACGCAGTCATTATAAAAAAAAAAAGTGCCGACGTTTCAACCCAAACATGTGGGTCATCATCAGAGCTGAATATTTTAAAATACAATCAGAGATATAATATTATACGACCGATAATGGTAAACAATAAACTATAGCGATTGATGCCAAAAGAATCTTAACTAATATTACAGTAGACAATATTAAAAATGAATTATGTAAAAAGTTATACAAACTAAAAATAATGTATATAATCCGTTTGCAAAAAAAATATAATATTTTCTCTTACTAACCGTGGTTCGAGCACTGAAGGCTTTCAAGTACTGACACATTTGGTAGATAAATGAAAGGATCGGTGGAAGATTTCCCAGTTATCATTTTTCAGATAGCAAAAGGTAGGTAAACATAGTTAGAGAGGAAGGGAGGTAACATTTCTGTTTGTAGAATGTACATAGTTTGCTGACTAAATATTCAAGATGTTTACAAGATTTGCGTTGTTTCTTATGATGGCTAGTAATGAAATTAACATAAATAAGAGGTGCCAATCAATAAAAATATAACACAGTTTGATTAAAGATATACAATGGTTAGGCAAATAATATTTATAATAAAGACAATTGTAATGGATTGAAATGATACGTAGGAAAATATATTATACAATATTTTTTTAAAATAACAATATTAATCATAATAGAAGTACGTACACATGTTTGGGTTGAAACATCGGCACAAATAAAGAATTTTTATAACGATTGCGTCCTGAATATTTATCACCCATGATCTATACAGTCGACTAGCTTCCTTTATTAAGGGATCAAACATTGCTTCATAATAACAATAATAATAAAAGGCTTAGCGAACCCGAAGGTTCGATGCCGACACCACCAATCGCTTATTACACACCTCCCTCCACCGTTCGCCGTCCAAGTCCCTTCAGATCGGCTTTAATGCAATCTTCCCACCTTTGCTTGGGTCTACCCCTTGGACGCTTACCATTCGGCACAGCAAATATTAACCTTTTAGGAATTCTCTCGTTACTAAGCCCAACAACTTTACAAGCCCATTTGATTCGCCTCGACGAAATTACCTCAATTATATTACCCGGACTTCATAATAGACTAGACAAAATTTACTTTAAACGAAAGTAGAAATTGTCATTGTTATTCATTTATTTATAACATTGGGGGGCTCCTCAGCCTTATGGGTTGCATTTGCGCTCTTACATAGTATTCATATTACATCAGATGAAATTTAACAATTAATTTGAAAGTACAAACTAATTAAAAAATTTAAATTTCCAAAAAATTGTAAGTAAAAATTAAATTTACGTTATTTGAAGAATTATAAACAATTTTTTTTTTTGCAAAATTGGTGGGTTTTTTAAAATTTCAGTAAAATTATTCTCCAATTTTTCGTTGTGCTTCAAAGGCATTCAGTCAAAATGTGCCCAGGACTGTTAAATTGACTCCGCAATAGAGAAACTGAGGGGTGTTCTCTTTGGCATTAGGTGCACATGAGTTAGCCGTGAGTGTCCGATTCGGAGGCTTGTCAGGATTATTTCCTCTCTTCTGTTCAACAATAGTTGTCATTGTTAAAACTATTTAAAGACAAACTCAAATAAGTTTTTTTAAAAAAATATATAATATAAAAAAATCGTAAAATAAAATGATTATAAAGTCGAAAAAAAAGGTGGCCTACAAAAATATTGGTCCGTTTGGCGTGACCTCCGCAAACAAAATATCAAAATAACCATGTTACATACGTCAAACGGCCGAATATTAAGATTAATGAATAGCTGCGTAAGATTTGTTATTGGTGCCCACCAGGTACTCCCATGCCTCACCACTACACAGAGTTAAGGTGGCTCTTCCCCCTTGTCGAAGACAATAATTCCTAGGTACTATCCTCTACCAAATCATCAACAACCATCGCCGTTTACGCCAACAACCTTCACCAGTTCCAATCCTCAGTCCCTTCCCTGTCCAAAAGATCTCGACCTTCTGACCATTAGATGCCTTCTCAAAGATCTGTCTACCTCATTCCAAAATTCCTTTATTGTTCGCTCTGTCAATGGTTTCTGGAAATACCCTCCCTATCAAAATACGACATTCCCCCCTCCTATCCACATCAAATCCCTCCTATTCCAAATCCATATCACAAAACAGTCAAGATACTTGCTAACCATTCGAGCGGCTTTTAATAAGAGAATTTGATACATTTTATTTTTAATTCTTTATTTTTTTTCGGAAAAGTGTAACTGGTCTAAAAGAGCAATTAGCTTTAAGCGTTTTTGTTCAAAGTAATTAAAGTTTTTGTTATATATTTAGTTTGATTTGTGTATAAATTTTTACCAAAATTTTTTTTTACGTTATTTCTTTTTACAATTTGATTTTAATTTGGCCAGTTGTAAAATATTAAAATATATGTTACTATTAGTTATTCACTAGGGACTGTGCTCCCAAATCAAAGTTATTTTTCTATCAAAAAAAAAAATATATTCTTGTAGCCCACCTTTTTTTCGCTTTGTGATCATATCTTATGAATAGAAAATAGAAATAGAAATAGAAAATAACTTTATTCTGGGACAAAGTCCCTTTAGAATAACAAAATAGAACATAATTAAAATACTACATTTGGCCAAAATAAAACATTAATAACAAAAGATGAAAATAATAGTTAAACAAACATATAAAAAAAAAAAAATCTATATACAGACACTTAAAACTATTATAAAACACTTTAAGCTATGCACAGTAGGAAAATTATAATTATACTCATTTAAAAAATAAAATAATAAAAAATACATTGAGCTCTTCTTTAAAATGACGTGTGTTTCTGCTAATGAATAAAGTGGAAAGCAAATGGGCACTCATGAGTTATTTAGTGGCTAGTTAAATGTACAAAGTTTACCGATCTCCAGAATGAAAAGGCCTCAATTCCGAGAATTTTCGTAAATAAAATATTTCTATGTTACGATGAGAAGAAGCTGTTTACGAAGTTTTAATAAAAAGGGGTCTGCACCACGGATTATGTTAAAACTAGTGTTGCCTAAAATCGGTGACCAAAGACTGGTAAAAAAAGAATTTTTTTTAAAAATCAAAATTAAGGTATAATAGTTATTAATACTTTACAATCTTAGTTATTATATGTGAAGAATTGCTATAAGCAATAAACATTTGCTTTTATCTTTTCTAATTTTACATTCAGGCTTAGCTAGGTATTTCCTGTATACAAAATTACAATAATATCTCTATAGTAATAAGCTAATATGTAACTGCAAGAGTTTTTTTCCAAGCATTAGAATTTAGTTTCTGGCAAAACTACAAGAATGAACTAAGAATAACAACAACATTTAATATAAATTTAATAGTTACGTTTAATTAATAAAGCAGTAGAAACAAATAAATAAGTTTTATTTACTTAATATAACGTAAATAATTCATAAAAATGAAAATCTTTAGGTGTGAATGGCTCCGAAACAAAGCGTTTGCGGACATACCTTCAGAGGAAATTTTTTTTCTTTTATTGAGGTCCTTAGTGTATATATATATATATATATATATATATATATACATCCATAAGACATCATAACTTTTTTTTTTAATCTTAATAAATTTGAGTAATTTCAAATTTGGGCCATTCAGCTGAAAAACTAATTTTTCAAAAACTGAGAAATTATTATTATTTTAGTATTATTTTTATTTTTATAATATTATAAATATCAGAAAATATCAATGTTTGACTTTCCGCGATCAAAATAATATTTTCATTTTTTTTTTTTTTAAATACTTGTACATGAAACATTATTTAGGACTTCAATATAAAATTAGTAATGGAATTATTGTATCTTAATTTATTTGTCGTGTATTTTGATATTTTTAATATATTTTGTGAAATTTCAATGGAAAATATGCGCTTCGTTAAAAAATTGCGGTGGTATAAGTTCATTCTCCTTAATCACTAATAAACTTTGATGTCCCTCCAGAGGAGACAACCGAGTTAATTAATAATTAATAAATAAATCACATTATTCATTGTACGGACTTAATGCAGTAACGGCTAAGCTATATATATATGGTGGTATTATTACATCTTTTAATATACTTTTACTGAGATACTGTATATTTTCTTTAATATTGATTATTGTAATTTATGGCCAGATGTGGTTTTTATTTTTTGTTCATAACTGTTATTCATAAGGGACCTCGTCCCAGAATAAAGATTACTTTCTATCTATCTATCTATATATATATATATATATAGCTATGTAATATGTATTATGTATGTACTAACGGCTAACCTATATGTATATACATACGTCTAATGCTGTCGCCATCAGCATAAAGGTGATATACCTCATCGTGGAAGTGAGATGACTAACAAACTAAGATTCGAGCTATACCTTCTTACTGATAAGGTAACAGTAAGTGAAAGCAATGAACGTTTCGATAAGTTGAAAACGAAAACCTCAATCATAGTTGATAATACTTATTTATCGCTCATGAAATGCCAATGTGAAATATAACAATATCTACTATTATTATGAATTTTAAAAAAAATTGATTTTAGTTATTTGACCATTGGCGTCGATTGGACGGAGAGGAAGCATCCGATGTTTGAAATGTTACCATACGTCTCCACTAATATTTTGAATATACTCGCTTGTTCACTAGCGGATCCAGGATTTAATTTTGGGGGCCCGAAAGCATATTTTTTTCATTTAATATACTATTAAAATAATAATTATCTATATGAAATGTTTTTTTAGTACTTCTTGAAGTCATATTAAATGTAATTACACGAACAATAAGACTTTAAAAGATAATTTTTTTTCTATAAAACATGGTTAGGGGATGGCTTTAGCCAGAAAGCTCTCCCTCTCTGGATCCACCTATGCGCATGTTTATAATACTGTACTTGCATATAGTGTTGCACTAAATCGTTCTTGGTCTTGCAAAGTGCAAGAACGAGACCAAGACTTATTATTATAGTTATAATTGTTGCAAGATCAAGACAAAGACTGACTAATTGTAGCATGTATAAGACCAAGACTGGTCAAGAAATTGAATAAAAATGAAGGCAAAATAGTTATTAAAACTAGACAATTTTAATTACTAGTAAAGCATTGATAGAACCAATATACTTTTGCATTTTACTCTTCCAATTTTGGTTTATTATTTTCAATAATGAACCATTGTAATCGACCGAAAAATTCAAATACTTAATCTCCCTCTAAAATTTGAGGTTTCACGTTTCAGGATACGTAGAATTCGAAAATCGAATAAATTTATTTTGTGTCCTTCTGCCGTCAGGGCATTTTCTCCGATACTAAAGAAACGATTTAAATGTATCTGTATAACATACGAAAAGAAGCTGGGAAAAAAGCTGTGGCAAAATTAGATTAGATTTTTGTTTTAATTGTGTTATTTGAAAAGTTTACAAAATTTTCTAAGTATAGGATCCCTTTTGAAAAGAAATTAACTTGAAGGTCGGTTTTTGATAAAAAAATTATTTATTTGAGTTAGTTTTGGATATAAAAGATATTGAATAATTCGGGGAGAGGTGGAAAGCTATAAAAAAATTTAATTTTTTTATAGCTTTTAGTTTATAATAATAATAATAATAATAATAATAATAAAATGAATTTATTTTAATTTTAATAAAACGGTTAAAAACGCTGTTGATGATTTTTTTTTTTTTTTTAAGAATACATAAGAAATAAAAGTTTTTTAATACTTTCCTAAAACAAATACCTGTTTCAGAAATAAGCTTCTTTTCACCCTTTTTTTAATATTTAAGTTTTGGGGAAAAAAAATTTACAACATTGGCTTCTTTGTTGTTGTTGTTTTTTTTTTTACATCGGTTTCGATACATATCTCATTTCGATAAAAATCGATTAGAGTTCACTTTATATACATTATAAATTTAGTAGCTATGTAAGCATTATAATTATAAAAAGTATATTGCCTATTTGTATATATCTAATGAGCTTAGATTATTCACGACAACAGATCTGGAACAAAATAAATAATTTTTCTATTTTTTTTAGGGGGAAAGGGATCTTCTGTCCTCATATCCACCTGTATAGATAAGTTAAGATAAAATATCACTTGAATTTATATACTTTAAAATGTAGAATATTTATTGCTATCGGACTATAAATCACAGGTGGTAACCATTTTTATCAATATAATGATACTTAATTCTATTAATTAAATATTTAATAATTCTAGCACCAGATTAATAAGTATCGCGTAAATTGTTTGGAGACCGCAATTACGTCATGGAGGCCACTTGCGGCCTCGGAGGCTCCTCACCCATGCTTTAAATATATTTAATTATTTAAGCTTTAACTTTAATTATTAAGCTTTAAATGATTACTATTTAAATGATTACTTTAAATGATATTTTATGTAGGTAAACATTTTCGCCATTTTCACTTCGGTTGACGTATATTTATTATTTCTATGAGAAATATTTTAAATCCATTACTTCCAGAGCTGTAAATTAAATCAGTGAATTCAATCTTTATAGATTTCACGATGAAACCAAAGCTTATTATATTCTTCTTTGGAATTTCATGAGCGATAAATCGGTGTTATCACCTGTGATTCAAGCATTCTTCTTCAACTTATCTAAACGATTACGACCTGGAGTTAACTATTGAACAATTCTTATCGTAACGGCAAAATAAAAAGGTTTGGATCGAAAAACAAACAGATTGTTAATGATTTCGCTTTACACGATGAAGTTTCTCACAGTTCTTCTTATGGTCACCGCAGTAAAGGTATATACATATATATATATATATATATATATATATACACATCTAGTATATACATTATTTCATAACTTCATAACTTGGGATAACATGTCATTTTTAAATTAATTAGTTATTAACTTAAATCGAAATTGAACTTGTACGATTTCGCTGTAACAAACTTCTCAAATAATATTGTAGGGTTTAATAACCACTAGCAGACCTAAGATTTAACTTTTCAATTTTGGGGAGGAGGAGAGGTGGTTTATTTGTTTATTTTATTTTTAATGACCATTTAAACATTTTACAATGGAAGTAAAATGTAGCAATGTATACATGACATTTGAAGTAATTATGGTTATAATGATTATATAAAAATTAATTATAATTATAATAACAATTATTATATATACACTTTTGTATTGTTTATGAATAGTTTTAAGCATCTTAATACATGTAGCATTAGAGAGAGATGAAGAGAGAGAAGGGAAAGACAGAAAATGAAATGAAAAAAAAGTGCTTGAACAATGAAAAAAAAATATATATATATATTTATTATACTCATACTTATTAATCACTTCTATATATTTATGTATAAGATTTATTGAATATTTAATAGTTGACCGTTGCATTATAAAGGAAGGAGATGGTCCGGGTTGGCGGTCATAAATAGGCTAAATAGTGGCAAAACTATTTTATTAAAAGTCAACGTTTCGACCTGACTTTGTAGGTCTTTTTCAGGGCTTTAACGGACAAAAATATATAGAGAATTGTGGAAGTTACATACTATTTCGACAAAAAATTATAAACAATGTGAATAAGCTTATTAAAATTATAAACAGTAAGTACATTAAAATATAAACAGAGTAAGCTAAGTAACAAGATCCTAAACTGAAGTAAATAGATGGTAACAATTTTTGTAGATTGTATTTTTGTATTAGGTTGTATCTTTATCTCCACATTCCTTTATGTCTATTATTTCATATTATATCCTTTTTCCTTTTCTTTCAATCTCTCCTCTAGATCTGTAGAAGTCACATTTGCATATATTATATATTACACTACAGCAATTGTTACAGTAAACAGAGTAAGCTAAGTAACAAGATCCTACACTGAAGTAAATACATGGTAACAATTGTTGTGTATTATATAATATCTGCAAATGTGAATATATTTCTACAGATCTACAGGAGAGATTGAAAGAAAAGTAAAAAGGATATAATATGAAATAATAGACATAAAGGAATGTGGAGATAAAAATACAACCTAATACAAAAATACAATCTACAATAATTGTTACCATTGTTTATAATTTTAATAAGCTTATTCACATTGTTTATAATTTTTTGTCTAAATATTATGTAACTGCTACAATTCTCTATCTTTTTGTATCTTGTCCGTTCTAACCCTGCAGAAGACCTGCAAAGTCGGGTCGAAACGTTGGCTCTTAATAAAATAGTTTTGCCACTATTTAGCCTTTTTATGACCCCCACCCGGATCATCTTTTTCCTTTATAAGCTTTATTGGTTGTCCTAAAGATTAGTCAGCATGCTGTTTGTCCAGAAATCCAATATAATTGGGCAGCAAGTTTTAAAATTTTATATGAAAATAAAATATTTTATCAGAAAGTATTTTTATATTTTATATGAATAAAAATACTTCGATATGTAGTAATACTTCAATTATTACATCTCTAGTCCCATATTATTTTGTTTAATAATTAAATAGGACAGGTGGAAGATAATAATTTTTTTTTATTCCCTGCTGAGAAACTGAAGTTGTGCGAAAAAAAATTACTGGCAAAATCATACAGTAATTAATGAATTCATTGTACGATCTACTATTTTCATTTTTATTAATTTATTGAATTATAATTACTCTATTTTTTAGCGTGATAAAGATGTAAATGTCTTCGTAATATAATATAATATAATCAAGAAAAATTCAAAAAAACGAAAGCTGAGAAGATATGTTCAGGATATGTTTATCAAACTTTCTATTATCTTGAGGCGTGTTCTTTTCATGACTCAATTTTTATGATCTTTTCAAAATACTATATTAATCATAGGAAATATTTCTATGTAAAAAATAATAATAATATTTTAATACAAGATGTAAATAAATATAAATATTTGAGCTATCTATCAAATGTAGACGTCTAGAGTTACAAAAAAGTCCATGGTTCGACTTCCCCAAAAAAGTTGGCAGATTAAGTTTTGTGTTGTTTTTAAGTAAGTCACTTTTTACTTTCACTTATCTATCTATATAGGTAATAAATAGTAAGGGTAAGTATTGCGATCACGAAAATTTTCGACGGAAATACACGTTTTGAAATTCTCTGAGTCAAATAATTAAGTCCTGCAAAATAGTCTGTGCGCGTCTGTGTCTGAACAGTCAAGATCAAAAACGAAAAGTCGTACGAAACGGATATTACGTATTTAAGATAGGTATATGTCTTAGACTTGACAGCAACTATTTCCTTAAAATCGGCTAAACGGAATTGCCACTTTATGTCAACGGTGAAACACATTTTAACAATTTTCTCGAATATGGCTTCAACGAATTTGATTAAACTCGTTGTATCATTGTATATAAGTGGTCTTTAATATCATTGAGGTCTTATCCCCATTGATGTAATTTAGCAGGGCTTGAATGCCCAATATTCTCATGCATCTTCCTCTAAAGTACGTTTAATATGGTTCATTTTAAATAATTATTTATCTCTCATTATTAAGAGTTACGAAAAAATGCTAACTATAACTTTTAAATGAATTTGATAATTAAATAAAGGAGAAAAAAATAAAAAGGTTTATTCAGTTCGAAAATGAATCTCCGGAAATACTAGTCAGAAGGTATACGTATAATATATCATTGGAATGCGGAGAAGTTCAGAAAACATAATATCAAATAAAGAAAGTTGTAGAAGGTAACGGAGAGTGACAAAATTAATAATAATTACAGAAAACTAACCTTATTTAACGTAAATCACATGTTTTCAAGAAAATTAAATGAAATTTTATTACTAAATGTAAAATTTTAAATTTTTTTCTAACTTCGAAAAAAAAATATTTAAAATCAACCGAATCAAGCCAATGCTATTGTTTAAAATATTGTTTCACTGTACTTGTGTGAAAGAAGTAGTGAAATATAAAAATATTTCATGGATATGTTTATAATTCTAAATAACTTTACTGTAGTTTAATAACTCTAGATATGACGTTATAATTAAATAATTGGGTATCTATTGACTATTTATTCTAAAATATAATCTAGTAATTTTCGTAAAATTCTAAGCTTTCCAACGATATATTATCCGTATACATTTTGACATTTATTTTCACTCTAATATAAATTTTTCAAAATACTTTCATTATTTATATAGAGCCTTTATTTTTTTATTTCTACCAACAATGAGGTACAATAAACCAATTTAAAAATTCTTTAAGAAATTTTTAATATTGGGCAGTTAAGCCCTGTTAAGCGACATCAATGAGAATAAAACCTGGCTGAAATTAATACGAATTCAATTGTACAATATTATACAATATTGTACAATATTTTTGTAAGCCCACCTTTTTTATCGATTTTGAGACCAAATTATCTTACGATCTAAGTAGAAAGCAAATAGGTATTTAAGAATTTTTAATACCTAATTTAATAGATTACTTGTTTATTGATAAATATTACAATCTGTCTCAATTAAGGACACTTATAATAGAGTTCAGAGAGAAAATTCACACCATATTTACAAAATAAAAAAATAAGATAATTTCAAAATTATCTACAGCAAAATAAGAACAAAATAAAATATCATAATGATGGAAGAAAATAATAATATTGGTAATAATAAAATAAAAACAAGTTGTGTGTAAATGGTTGACTGTCGTGAATAATGAAGAGAAGAATAGTTGGGGTGATCAATCAAATAAAAAGGTAAATGATAATATTTATTTTGACATAAATATTTAATAATTTCGACATAAACTCTCGTCCATTATTTACGCTTCCGGTACTTTAGTTCAAACTTCGTCAGACAAACGTTAGAGATGTCGCCACAATACATTTCCTCTCTCTCCCCTACCTCTTTTTCCTCTTTCTTATTTCTGCCTTCTCAGTTTTTTGCCTCCTTCATTTCAATCCTTTTCTCTGTTAACTCTTTATTATATTATACGTTGTCAGTACATTTTGATAGACTTTACAATATCTCAATTTTCTATCTAACTATTATATTTGCAATATCTTAATTTTTCTATTTATTTTCATTTATTATATATATATATATATATATATATATATATTCCTTTTTTTTCTGTTTTACATTTATTCTAAGATTCCCATTTTAATACTTATGTCATCTTTTTTTATTATGTTTACTTCATCATTCCACACTTTGAAACGTCGGCAAATGTCAAAATAAATATTATCATTTATTTTTGCCTTCTTATTTGACTGATCGCCTCAACTATTCTTCTCTTCATTATTCACGACAGTCAACCATTTACCCACAAAATAAATTTATCATTATAAGTTTATTTTGGTAAAGAGGTATAATAAGTTGTTATTTATATTACAGCTAGAAGGAATCGATGTCCAGTGGAGGAAAATAGATGAGCTGAAGCAGTCGCTTGCAGGTTATAACAAATCAGCAGAGAAACTTTTTCTGATGACAATCCATGCCATGTTCGACACCAAGGCAAAAGCAGCGCAGTTCATCGACCAGCTTACAAACAGTTATATCCTGACAACTTCGAAACTGAACGAGACAGCTTGTTATAGATCTATTTTTGATCTGAAGCGTTTGCAGAGGTCGTTTCAGTCGGAACTCCTCAGATCGCAGGTACCTTTGGAAAACCTCCTCATAGAGTTGAGGGGAAAGTTGGACGGGATCAACAATACCATCAACATGTGCCAGGATCTCGCTGAGAGCAAATATTCGATTTGCAAAGTTATGAATAAAACCGAAGGCTGTGAGGGGGATACGAATGCTTGGCTGGAAGAGATCTTGAGTAGAGTCCGTTGCCAGTTCTCTCAACCTTGCAGCGACCACCATATGACCAAGCGCTCGGCACATTTCTCCTGTCCTGTTGATCAATTTGCTTGTGATTCTAAAAAATGTATCTCGCCCAAGTCAGTCTGCGACGGCAACCCAGACTGCAGCGATGGAACTGATGAGGCCAGATGCTGTCCGCAACAACACCATTACTTCTACTGCAGGGAAACAGACACTTGCATTGAGACCTCTAAACTATGCGACAGTCACAACGATTGCGGTGAGAGTTCGGACGAACAGCATTGCGGAAAGCTGTTGATTAATAACTGCACTATTGAAAATGGTATGCATAAATGCGATTCTGATAAATGTATAGGATTGGATCAAGTGTGCGATGGGAAACAAGACTGCATTGACGGTTCGGACGAGAGCGATGAATGCGGGGCTGGGCTTTGTCCTGAAGAGTGCACCAAGAAAGGGGGTGCCTGCTTCCACGGCCCGAAGGGGCCAATCTGCTTCGCTCAGTGTCCTCTGGGCACCTTCGAGTCCCCGGGAGGTTGCACGGCGCACCCTCAGCCTTCCAACCGCACCGTGATCCAGCTCATGGAGGAAATACCAACCATGGCTTACAAGCAAAACGAAAAGTTCGCCTACCTGAAGATGAAAGCCTTATCGACGCTATCAAGAATGATAAGCGATGTCTTCAAATGCTTGGATCCATATTATCCCATCCTGGCTAAAGTTCTTACCATTAGTGTCCCTGTTCAGAACCAAACTGTACCCAATCAGACAGTCCGCATGGCACAAGATGAATCTGAGGAGAAGAATGAGAGTGAAGGAACAGATTTAGAAAATAAACCAGAATGATGGATTAAATATATTAATCATTTACAAATCTATGTAGTAAATAAAGTTTCAATTATACCTGAATTTTTAATATTGTGTTCATTCATAAATCAAACTCAGAAGATTTTAAAAATCGGGTACTTGCATGGGAAAAGAATCATCATAAATTAAATAAACAATAATAGTCCGTTGACCCATTTTTATCGAATTATTAACATCCGCCTGAAACTTCGTAAATAGTTTCATCTCATCTTAACCTACAAATGTTTTATTTACAAAAACTCTTGGAATCACTGGCGGATCCAGGATTTAATTTTGGGAGGGGGCTTCAGCCCGAAACCTGTTTTTTTCATAACAATAATGATAATTACTTTGGAGAAACAGAAAGAAACTACCTATATGAAATGGTGTTTAAGTGATTGCTTAAGTCCTTTTAAATGTAATTACACCAACAATAATACTTTAAGAGGTATTTAAAAAAAAAATTTCCATAAAACATGGTTACATTTTACTATTTTGGGGGGGGGGAGGGAGGCTTCAGCCCGAAAGTCACCCCCGTAGATCCGCCCGTGCTTGGAATTGGAGTATTTTCAATCTGGAGGAGGGCAAACTTTGTCTATTTAATTAGGTATTTGTCATTTGCTTCTCACTTTGATCGTTAGATAATTTGATCACAAAATAAAGGTGCATAAAAAAGGTGGCCTATAAACATATTGGGCCGTTTCTCCAAACGGTTCAATATTTTTGAGTGCCACTTTTTTTATTGATTTCGTTATCACATTATCTTATACCCAAGTAGAAAGCAAACGATTATTTACAAGTTTTTAATACCTAATTAAATAGACAAAGTTTGCCCCCCCCCCCTCCAGATTGAAAACTGATATTTCGTACTCCAAGATATTTCGTAAATAAAATAGTTGTAGGCGCTTTACAAGACCAAGACCAGGGCTGCCTAACTGTTGCAAGACTAAGACCAGAACTGGTAAAAAAATCGATTTTTGAATAAAAATTAAGGCAAAATAGTTACTAATACTTGACAATCTTATTTACTATTTGTTAATAATTGGTATAACTAATATACATTTGCATTTAATTCCACTAATTTTTCATTTGGGCTTAGTTAGGTTTCTCAATATAAAAAATTAAAGTAACATCACTATAGCAAGAAGCTAATAAGTAACTGCAAGACTGTTACGAGAATCTTGCGCAAGACCAAGACTGAGTTTGCAAGACCAAGGCTCCTCTCGGTCTCGCGTTTGAGCAATACTCGTTGTAGGTTATGATGAGATAAAATTTTTGACGAAATTTCTGGCGAGTGTTAATAATTCGATAAAAAGAAGTCTGTACTACGGACTATAGAAATCAAGTAATAAATTCAAGTAATAAATAAAGTATAATAAATGCCTAGTCGATGGCGCATGAACCATCTCCCTCTCCTTCCAAGATATTTTATTGCACTCCTCTTTTTAATAACAGTGCTAAACCTTCAGCGGTCTGCTATTTCCTTTCCTCTTTTCTCCTGTTTTGAAACTTTTTATTCCGAAAACTCATAAACTTGACGAAAGCTGTCTCCCGTCCAAAAAAAAAATTTGATGTTGCAAATTGAGCCATGGAACCCTTCTGGGTATCCTTAAACGTATAATATTGACACAATTATTTCTATTATTGATAATAAAAACACTCAATTCGATCAGAAAATTCCTAGTTTATATCTTTTTCGACACCAAAGTTGCTTCTCTTTTTCAGCCCATTTTCAAAGGAAGAAAAAAAATAAATAAATAAAACAACCATCAAAGCCTACTTACTCATTATTTTTATTTTATACTTTATATTTACACACCTATTTAAAAAAGTAATGTGGTATGAATGCTCTGCTAATTCTAAATTTGAGAAATAAAAATTATGGTTTTTTAACAACAAAACTAAAAATATGTTGAATTAATAATACGGCTGTGAATTTAATGTAATTGTTTATAATATAATATTTATGAACTAGTTTACTAATATACAAAGGTAGTTATTAACATAATTTTCAATTTTGAAAAATGTTAGTTTGAAATGTGAAGAGCTTTAAACCTACAACACTAATAAACCTAATAGCCCTAGAGCCAGGGCCCAAAAACCGTCTGATCGCAGGCGAAGGTTTATGTTTATCTTATACTGAGTAAAATGAAGTTTGTCTGCCGTTCCAGAGCCGCTGATTTCAAAAATGGCTGCTGATTCAAAGAATATTAGGTCAATAATTTGAGGATCGAAACGGGAAATCCATTGCGATAGATGTGAGAAAACTTTTTATTTTTTTAGCTTGTATATATCGGCTCAGACATGTAAAAACAAAATTGCTAACGCCGGTCACCAAGGGAAAAATTTTCACATCAAAAAAAGACTGATGTTTCCGACATTTTTTGTTGATTTCACCTATAACTCCTAAACGATGCATTAAAACGAAAAATTTATTCTTTAATAAATTAAAGAACGTTAAATTTTGCGTCAAACGAGTGCATAAACTTTATAATTTGGTTACGCGGCAAGGTATAAAACTACGGTCAACCAACTCTGATTTTTAACAAATTTGTCTAAAACTGGGATAAACTACTATAAATGGTCCTGTAACTTGGAAATTAGTTCCTTAAGGGAAAAAACTCATAGAATCAAAGTTGTAGAGCACCACATTTTGCGTCATATAACCTTATAGAGTGAGGTTTTAGTAATTCAGTAGTATCTTATATATTATTTCTACAAGGTGTTTTTTTGTCGGTACGCCATAACTTCATTAATTCTTTATTAAATTCAATGATTGACTACTCTGATCGACGCAGACTGAAAAGAAAATGGCCATAGGACTTACTCCTACATTAATAACAAGAAAAAAATAATCAAGCCAATTCGCAGCTAATGGCTAATACAACAGATTTATTAGATGCGTTACAGCGCAGGTGCAAATTGCATACTTTCTTTTTTTTTTTTTTTTTATTATTTCTTAGTGATAGTTACAACTGTATTAAATAAATACATCTAGTAAATTTGAACATGAAAACACTTTCTGAGTAACTACCCAATGATAGCACTCTAATGATATGTCTACAATAGAAAATCACGAGGCCATCTTCTTTTCAGACGCCTCGGGTGTTATCAGGAATTAAAGAGGTAGCAAGGTTAGAAACGAGAGGGTTGGGATGATTCTGAAGTTTATTATGGAAGGATAGGTATCCTTAGGATAGGATTAGATCAGATCTGAAACATTAAGTTCATTATGGATGGTTTTATTTGTAACAAAGTAGGGAGCATTGAGGATTTTACGAAGGGTTTTGGATTGTAAGCATTGGATACGAGAGGAATTCGATGGTTTAGTGGAGCCCCATAGCTCAACTTCGTAAGTCCAAATAGTCCAAATTTAGAGCGTTTGTTTAGTAAGTGCTGAAGTAATCGGAAACGTCGAGCGGTTTCTTGTCGTTTCAGTCTAGTATGAGGATTAAAATATTAAAAAAAAAAAAATTAAATAATTATTTCTATGATGCGCGCACCAGATTTTTCTTTCAAGTAGAGATTTCTTTATGAAGTCCAGATTTTTTTTTATGAATTTCTAATAAATTTCCTCTTTCACCGTCAGCACCTTAGTATCTTGATCTTTATTGTTCGTTTCAAAGCTGACCGTGGGATTCGCTATAAGTCCATCTTTTTCTGTTGTATTATATGTCAACGAACATAGCAGTGCCCTCTGTGTCTAAGCAATAATGTTCGTCGAAAGATATAAAGTTGTCATAAGTGTGCCCATCCCCGCAAGATCGATGAACCTCGCCTCCCTCTTTCATGATATTTTCATATTATACAAAAACAGTGTAAGTGAAGGTAGAATTTTAAAAAAATCGTAGATCACATACATTAACACTTACTGCGCTGTTTCAAGTTTTCCTTTTGCCCTCCTGGTTTGGTTTCGATCTAAAATGTGCCCCCCCTCAAAAATGCGCAAAATTTTGCGCCATGAAACCCCCTTCTGGACACCCCTGATTTGCATAATACATGAGCTGGGATTTCTTACTACCGGCTACATTAAGGTTCTATGTGTGTACAATTATTAAGGTGTGTGTGTGAAAGTATATGTGTGTATTTAATAGTGTTGTCCAAATGCGATACCAAGACGACTTTTGTGCAATCAGTCTTGGTCTTGCACAAGAGTATCGCAACAGTTACCTATCAACTTATTGATTTAGAGATATTGCTGCATTTTTTAAGATAAAAGAAACCTAACTAAGCCCAAATTAAAAATTAGAAGTGTTAAATGCATAAGTATATTGGTTATATCAATTCTTTACATTTAGTAACTAAAATTGTTAAGTATTAATACTTAAATATTACCACTTCGCCTTACTTTTTATTAATAAAGTCGATTTTTTTACCAGTCTTGGTGTTGGTCTTGCAACAGTTAGGCGGTCTTGTAATGTGCAAGACCAGGACCTATTTTGCGTAAAACTAGTGTGCATTAAAGTAATAAAAGAATTCAAGAAATCTCGATGGTTAACTTCACAGATGCAAAAATTCAATTAATCCATTAGTTTTGAAAACTTTTGCAATACGTAAATTCTAATTGTATTGCAAAAATATATAAATATAAATGAAGAAAAACCCAAAGAACCGAAGAGAATTAATAAATGTGGAATTATATGATGCAGTTAAATATTAAGTATTATTGTAGTTGAAACTCTTTTGCACTCAAAATATCATTCAAGTCGACCATCGGTATTTGTAAATATGGCGGGAAACTAATGTCTTTTAATTAATAATAAATGTAAATATGTGAATTCATCCAAGGAATCAGTTTTTACAAATACATTTTGTTGTAAATAAATTCAAACAAAATAGAAATAAATGTTTATTTAGAAGAAAGTTACATTTAAATTATATTATTTAAAATAACATTTTTTTTTTATATAAAGACAAATGTGTTTAATTTATTAAAATATTATACAATCTTAAAATATTTGATAAATATAAAATACAATATTTATTTTTTAAATAGTCCAGAGTAGTATATATTTATTTATAAAATAATCATTCAAGTACAGATTAATTTTTTCATAATTCAATAAATTATTTCAATAATTCATAATTTAATAATTCAGTCTCATTAACTTAAATTTATGGGTATTTTATATCACTAATGATGTTTGTTTTTTTAGCATTAAATTTAAATTTGTCTTCACTTGTATTTAATTAAAACAAAAATTTTTGAAAATATGTGTTATGATATCGATGTTTGTTAATAACTTGAGTATTTCATGCATGACAATCGTTTAAATATTAAAGAATTATTTCATTTTTATGATTTCACAATATGTTTTAATCTTTTCAATGCTTTTCATACTTGTATTGGACGTAATATTGGAAAAATGATTTTTTGGGATTAAATTGAATCATTTATTTCAGAAACAAGACTCTTGTCATTTGTACAAATTTTCAATTAGGTGATCTTAGATATAGTGATTATAGATGCATATATTTTTTTTTTTTTGTCTTCGATTCTTCATCCGCACCTGTCATGGTAGTGACAATTAGCAGATTTGTTGCTAGGTAGAAAATGGTATGATAGGCATGACGAAGTAAAGTCTTGTGGTTGATATAGTAGGGGCTGCAGTAATTAGTCTTAATATGTTAGATTGAATAAAAATAATTAAAAATATTCGACAATTATTAATGTTTAAAAAAACAAACAATACAAAACGTTTACAACAATAAATTGAGCAAGAAAAAAAAAATAAACCACCTTTAAATTTTTTTTTATGTTTCGAGATACTTAAAATCCAAATAAAAACGCCATACCTGAAATTATTTTAATTAAATAAAATATTACTACTCTAACTTTTAAATGTTTTTGGGAGGTCAATTTTCATGTTCAAGAAGAAGCCAGTGAAATGGAGTACAAAGCAGTTTTTCACAATTATCGTTATCGGAATCCATCTTTCTTAATTGTACTAACTTGCGAAAAAAAAAAAATGAAATAAAAAAAGGTAAAGTTAATAGTAATTTGAGGATTTGGGATATCTACTTTTGTATTCTGATGTAACAATTAATAATTTAAAAGTATTAGTACCCTTTTTTATCAAATTATAAACGTACAACATACAACTTTTTTATTTATGAAAATTATCGAAAATGGGGCGTTATCAATTAGAAAATTGGTAAACTTAGCCTGTTCAATGAGGAACTCATGATTTCCACATGAATGATAAGATATTTTGATTACGAATTTGAAAAAAAAAGATGGCCTACAAAAATGTTTAGTTGAATGGTGTGACCTCTATATTTTTAAACATTTTTAAATAACGAGGTTATATAAGGTAAACGGAATATTTTTGTTAGTTTTTTTTTCTCTCTATTTTTGATTGACAAAGTATCTTACGATTGAAGTGAAAAGCAAATGGGTAATTATGAGTTCCAAGTGCCTTATTTATGAGAAAACGACACAATTATGGGAATTTCTGTGAATAAGAATTGTAGGTTGCAATAAGATGAAGCCATTCAAGAAGTTCGGATGGATGTTAATAATTTAATGAGAAAGATAAATAATTTTTATTAAAGAATTATATACTTTTCATGAATACATAATTTTTTTAACTGGAAAAGCCTGTAAAGAAATCTTGAGAATTTACTTCAGAATCCGGAAGATTAGAGGCATCGTGTGTTTGGTTATTAATAGGAAAACTAAGAACTTTAGCGAGGCTTAGGTAATTTGGGTCCAAGCATTTGAATACATCGGTCATCATCTTTGATACTTTTTGTACAGCTTTCATCTTGAGGTAAGTGAACTTCTCGTTCTGTCTGTAGATCAGTTTCGGTATTTCCTCGAGGAGCTGTACGGCGGTGCGGTTGGAAGGCTGAGGGTGCGCTGTGCAACCTCCCGGGGACTCGAAGGTGCCCAGAGGACACTGAGCGAAGCAGATTGGCCCCTTCGGGCCGTGGAAGCAGACTCCCCCTTTCTTCGTGCACTCTTCAGGACAAAGCCCAGTCCCGCATTCGTAGCTCTCGTCAGAACCATCGTTGCAGTCCCGGTTCCCATCGCAGACTAAATCCAATCCCATACATTGCCCGGAATTGCACTTATACATGCCATATTCAATACTGCAGTTGTTCACGATATTTCCACATTGAAGTTCATCTGAACCGTCTTCACAGTCTTTGTGGCCGTTGCAAAGTTTAGATTTCATAATGCGTCCATCAGTGTTTCTACAGAAGAAATCTGTTGGACTATATTCCCTACAATCTTCAGATTCATCACTCCTATCACTGCAGTCTGGATCACCGTCACAAACCAATTTGGGGGAAATGCATTCTCCGGAATCACATACAAACATACCTACACTACAAAAGTTATTATTTATCGAACGTTTCGACAAAACATGACTACTACAGGGAGAGATTTGGCATCGAACCGAACTTACGATCGTATCAAGCCAAAGATTCGTCTCTTGTTCGCAAGTCGCATCTTCATTCGAGACTTTGCACAGAGAGTACTTACTATCAGCGAGACTCTGGCCCATATTGATAGTTCTGTTCATTCCGTCAATCTTTCCTCTCAGCTCTACGAGAAGATTTTCCAGCGGTACCTGGGACCTGTGAATTTCCGATTGAAATGACCTTTGTAGACGCTTAAGATCGAAAAGAGATTGGTAACAATCCGTCTCGTTCGTATCTAACGTTGTTAACAGATATCTACCTGTAAGCTGGTCAATGAAATGCACGGCTTTTATGTTATTAGCGGACATAGTTTGTAGGCTAAATTTAAAAACATTTTTAGTTGACAGATTGTAATTTGCAAGTGACTCTCTCAGATCCTCTATCTGTTTCCACTGCTTACTCCGACATCCAATCTGTAACAGAAATAAAAAATTATTATTGATATTTGGTTTATTGAATATTTAATAGTTGACTGTTACATTATAAAGGAAAGAGACAGTCCGTGGTGGTTGTCATAAATACGCTAAATAGTGACAAAACTATTTTATTAAAACCCAACGTTTCGACCCGACTTTGTTGGTCTTCTTCAGGGCTAGAACGGACAAGATACAAAAATATATAGGGAATTGTGGAAGTTACATAATATTTAGACAAAAAATTATAAACAATGTGAATAAGCTTATTAAAATTATAAACAGTAAGTACATTAAAATATAAACAGAGTAAGCTAAGTAACAAGATCCTAAACTGAATACACGGTGGGCCAGACCCCCTTACCGTGCACCCCCCCCCCACATCCCTATAAATTGCATATCGTTGTGTTCCTTGTAACAATTTATTTTAAAAAAGCCAATGTTCCCACAAAAAAAAGTGAACGCACTGCCCCAAAATGGCGTCCAAAGATGGCGGATTGACGACTTTGACTTTAGTTAGTTTTTTGGTCACTGAGAATCAGCATTAAGCTTAATTTCCTCATAGTTGGTCTTTTATTAAAGCTGAATAGTTATAGAATAATAAAACATGAAGAAATATTAAAAAATAATTGGCTAAGGCTATGAAAAACACCAGTAAAATCAATTTTCTTAACAAAAAAATTTTCAAGTTACAAATCAAGCGTCGATTGTAATTAAACGGCCTACAATAACGCAAAACGTGCTGAAATAAACCATCTGGAGAATATATTTCTCTTTCTGAAACGCTGATTATTTTTTACAAATGTTTAAGTAGTTCCGTAAAAAATGCACTTATGCGGCAGAAAAGCGGTACTGGCGTGGGTGCCTACAGGCCTCTACCACACCATTCAGTGCCCATAAACGGCTTAGTTATAGTGATATAATAACATTTTTGGTACATTATATTGGTTTTATTAACGAACAAATATTAATGCAATAATTTAATAGTAAAAAAAAAAAATTTTTAATTAAAAAAAAATTTATTATTTTTTTAAATTTTAACCTCCTTTATTCTATACGTAGGTCGTTTAAGAATACCTCAATTGTAAAAATGGTATAATTATAATAATAAAACATAATTAAAAAATATTTTGCTAAATATCTTGATTTTTTTTTTATTTAACGTTTGCAATTTAACACTGTGTTTTGAATATTTACTGATTCTTAGAAGTAATTAAAATGTTTATATACTTCCCAGGAAATGAGTCATATTCATACCTTTTTTATAAACTAAAATAATATATACCTAATCTGAACTATATATAATGAATAGCTACCGGGTTGTTTAGTAAAACTCATATATCACTAATTAAAAAATTCATTTTTATTTCCTCTATTTTGTGCAAAAGTTGGACTATATCATAAATAAATAGGAAATTTTAATATTGAATGAATTATTCTCTATGCACAAAGAAAGATATAAAGGGTGACCCTATAAGTTCTTCTATAAACCAAAACTGATTGTTTGGATTTGATCTCAAAATGAGGAAAAACGTGAACTTAAACGAGAAAATTGGAAAAATACATTAAGCGAACGAGAAAGGAAGTGCCAAAACCTCGGAATAGATAAAAAGGACCAGTTATATCCATTATATAGCTAAATGAATGTATAGTAGATAGATGAACAGAATATTTCAAGATGCTGCTAAAACGGGATCAATTGCAGTATGGATGATATTAAGTTGACGATGTAGGTTTATTATGGTGAAAACCACTTTATTTTCGATTGCTGAAGGTGCACATCGGGACTATATTAACTTTGAAGATGAATATAGAGATGTACATCGAGAAAGTTATAGCTCATAGCTTTCCTTCTGTTTAGTGGATTTTCAAAAGATTTTTTAAGGTATCTTATATTAGTTGTAGCTCGTTATTCTTCTCGTTATTCTTGAATTGTTCGGAATTTGTACCATATCAAAAAAAATAGGAAATTTTAATATTGAATGTATTATTCTCTCTGCACAAAGAAAGATGGAAAGGGCGAAACCGAACTGCTTTGACAGTTTTGCGCGTACATAGGCAACAAGCATATTAGAAAATAATATGAAAGGACTGTGGTTTTTACCTTTACAAGAAAGGAGGTACTAGGAAATGTAATACCCATCAAGACCCATTCCTGTTTAGTGTACCAAACAAATTATACACAATAATCGTAGAAGCTGGAATAAGAAATATTGTCGATTGCCAGAGTGATATGGATTGAGAAACTCAAGTTGCACATTGGAAGAGAAGTTGAAAATTGGGACTGTCTTCACTTTAAGTCCACATAAAAAGAAAAATAGCTCTCTATCTGCTCAGTGCCTCACACTTTGGATTATGCTAATATCTAACTGTCTTTCAGAAAAAGTCGTTTTCCTTTTAGATCCCTTAAAAAATCTTTTGAAAATCCACTAAACAGAAGGAAAGCTATGAGCTATAACTTTCTCGATGTACATCTCTATATTCATCTTCAAAGTTAATATAGTCCCGATGTGCACCTTCAGCAATCGAAAATAAAGTGGTTTTCACCATAATAAACCTACATCGTCAACTTAATATCATCCATACTGCAATTGATCCCGTTTTAGCAGCATCTTGAAATATTCTGTTCATCTATCTACTATACATTCATTTAGCTATATAATGGATATAACTGGTCCTTTTTATCTATTCCGAGGTTTTGGCACTTCCTTTCTCGTTCGCTTAATGTATTTTTCCAATTTTCTCGTTTAAGTTCACGTTTTTCCTCATTTTGAGATCAAATCCAAACAATCAGTTTTGGTTTATAGAAGAACTTATAGGGTCACCCTTTATATCTTTCTTTGTGCATAGAGAATAATTCATTCAATATTAAAATTTCCTATTTATTTATGATATAGTCCAACTTCTGCACAAAATAGAGGAAATAAAAATGAATTTTTTAATTAGTGATATATGAGTTTTACTAAACAACCCGGTAGCTATTCATTATATATAGTTCAGATTATATATATATTATTTTAGTTTATAAAAAAGGTATGAATATGACTCATTTCCTGGGAAGTATATAAAAATTTTAATTACTTCTAAGAATCAGTAAATATTCAAAACACAGTGTTAAATTGCAAACGTTAAATAAAAAGAAAATCAAGATATTTAGCAAAATATTTTTTAATTAAGTTTTAATATTATAATTATACCATTTTTACAATTGAGGTATTCTTAAACGACCTACGTATAGAATAAAGGAGGTTAAAATTTAAAAAAATAATAATAATTTTTTTTTTAATTTAAATTTTTTTTTTACTATTAAATTATTGCATTAATATTTGTTCGTTAATAAAACCAATATAATGTACCAAAAATGTTATTATATCACTATAACTAAGCCGTTTATGGGCACTGAATGGTGTGGTAGAGGCCTGTAGGCACCCACGCCAGTACCGCTTTTCTGCCGCATAAGTGCATTTTTTACGGAACTACTTAAACACTTGTAAAAAATAATTAGCGTTTCAGAAAGAGAAATATATTCTCCAGATGGTTTATTTCAGCACGTTTTGCGTTATTGTAGGCCGTTTAATTACAAACGACGTTTGATTTGTAACTTGAAAATTTTTTTGTTAATAAAATTGACTTTACTGGTATTTTTCATAGCCTTAGCCAATTATTTTTCAATATTTCTTCATGTTTTATTACTCTATAACTATTCAGCTTTAATAAAAGACACATTATGAGGAAATTAAGCTTAATGCTGATTCTCAGTGACCAAAAAACTAACTAAAGTCAAAGTCGTCAATCCGCCATCTTTGGACGCCATTTTGGGGCAGTGCGTTCACTTTTTTTTGTGGGAACATTGGCTTTTTTTAAATAAATTGTTACAAGGAACACAACGATATGCAATTTATAGGGATGTGGGGGGGGGAGTGCACGGTAAGGGGGTCTGGCCCACAGACTAGAAGTAAATAGATGGTAACAATTGTTGTAGTGTAATATATAATGTATGCAAATGTGAATATACTTCTACAGATCTACAGGAGAGATTGAAAGAAAAGGAAAAAGGATTATAAATATTAAAAATTAAATAAACGAGTAAACGAAATTAGAAGAATAAAAATAGAGACTTACAGGTGTGTTCAGCTAGGAGATTCACTTACGACTGGAAAATCATATTAATGAGGATCTTATTACTTAGCTTACTCTGTTTATATTTTAATATAAGTATTGTTTATAATTTTAATAAGCTTATTCACATTGTTTATTATTTTTTGTTTAAATATTATGTAACTTCTACAATTCTCTATCTTTTTGTATCTTGTCCATTCTAGCCCAAAAGAAGACCTGCAAAGTCGAGTCGAAACGTTGGCTTTTAATAAAATAGTTTTGCCACTATTTAGCCTATTCATGACTGCCACCCCGGACCATCTCCTCCCTTGACATTTGCTTTAAATTTTAGTCGCTACTATCTAATTCACTGATTGTTAATACTATTTTTTTAAAATGACGATACAAAATGTCAACATTTTTTAAATTTATTCATGAGCAAGACCCGGATTTTAATGTTTTAAAAACCCATAAATATGCAGTAAGAAAAAATGTAAAATGCATTAATTAATCTCTAAATATGCTAAGCTTACTAATTACTTTATTACTAATCTGTCTGTAATGTATCTAAATATACTGATGTGCCTATAAAATGTTTTAAAAGCAAAATGAAATTATGGAGGGTTTAAAATTTGCAATAATTTCATTTTTTTTTAAATATCTGAACCAGTTACTTAGCTCGTTACTAGTTTTTACTCGAAGCCTTCCGCAGGGTCCAGGTAAATTTTGGTCTTTTCTACCTGTTCCGCCATCTTGACGCTGTTTTTGATGTCAGAACTCGGTTTCGTTCACCTTTG